ATTTCTAAATTCAATTTCTTGTTGTAGCTTTCTGTTATGTTTCGTAAAAAAGTAGTCTTTATTATCCCGACCTGTCAATCAGACGTAGAATGGTCGATAGACTGGTTAAGCGAGACTAAATTCAAAACAAGGGCACGTAACCTATCTTTTACTCAAAAGTGTCTGGATGTTATGGACGCAACTTGGAACCAGTTTTCAGTCTATTATTTATAGATGATTAATGGTCATAGCTTATTAAGTACAACATGATCGTTTATTTAGTGACTATAATTGTGTGAAACTGATTTGAGGCTTGGCATATATATAAATATTGTGGCGTAATTGTCGAGATATTTGGAGATATTTATTTATGGTGGGTCACCCTAATTATGTAGAATATCCTACCAAGTTTAGTTACTTCCTCTTTATAGAGACGATGAACTGATGATTTGGTTACATATGAAGGTAGAAGTTTGATATCTAGTTTCTTCTGACCAGGATGCCGACCAGGTAGAATAATGGCATGCTCTTCTGCATAGTTGCAGATAAAAGAAACAACTCTACGAATGTCATCATGGCTTAGAATATTACGGTTTTTAGTTCTACAGCCCCCACGTTTCTTTAGACGAGGTGATATCCCATTCTCTTTGTAGTGGATGAAGCAGCTATCTAACACAGACTGACTGATCCTGAAAGTAAAAAATTTAAAAAATAAAGTACCGTATTGAAAACTACATGTTGTCATTTACTGTACATGTCATGATGCAGCCTTGCCTAACAATCTTCAATTTTCATTACAAATTAATTTGTGTGTACTGTGTATAAAATGTAGTTTTAACTAAAATGCCCATGAAAACATTAATTTCACTCATTACAAAATATATTACTGATTCTTATTGTTTCCTTATTTTGGCTAAGTGGGTAAGACGCTGGCTCGCTACCCTGGAGGTCAGGTGTTCGATCCCTGCATTGGCCGAGAAAGTTCATCCAGATCTTCCGGCGTGGTTTCCCCTTGTCAGTGATGCAGGACGGAGTGCCTGACAAGGACAGCTGTCTAGTCGTTCAGATGGGACGAAAAACCAAGGTCCCGTGTACATATTGGCGTGCACATAAAAGATCCCTTGGCAGTTGGAATTCGATATAAGAGTAGGCCGTAGCGCCGCTGCCCGGGCAAAATTTCCCTCATAGCACACTGTATGGCATATGCCCGTCTTCATTAGCCCAGTTTAGGAGCAGAACAGTAGGATGTTAAACCCCATTTCATTTCGTTTCCTTTTTTTAAAATCAATACATGCTTTAATAAACCTATTATACCTAATGAATTTGTTAATTGTTTAATTTATTCCTCCCTTCATTACTTGTTTAGGTATTGAATCCTTTCTTAACTATGGCGTCGCTGACAAGACTTCTGAAGCCGATGCATGTGTCTGATGCAATTACAGACTACAATTCAATTTTCAATTAAGTATGAAAACGATAACAAACATCAATCACACAAGGCAATAAACCTATTTAGGCAGAAATTATTTAATTGATGACCGTAATCAGAAATTTATATCAATAAAAGTAGTTTTGAAGTTGGAGACTCTTTATCAACTTTATGTTAATTAATTGCTAGATACCATACATAATAGTAATAGTTCACTTACATGTGTACAAATCTAAATGTACTTCGACAGATAGTTTTTCCCTCAACAAGATAAGCAGTCTTCTGATGCGATCTTTTCGTCTGAGTTTTGTGTTTTGATCTTTCCGTGTAGTCACTGAAGTTTCCAAGACTGCTGATCTTACCAATGATTTCAAGGTCTTTTTCGTCTGACGTGAGGGAAACCATATCTTGTCGACATCGATATATAAACTCAGGAGAAAGCTTCTCGCTACATGACATCAATCCCTTCTTTGAATTTTCTTTGCGCCGAGACGCACATTCACATTTCACTATCAGGGTCAATAAAGTCAACCTGCTTCATTATCATGGTTTCTATTTCTACTTCATTTTCTTTTTCTAGCTTCCCCGGCCCCTCCTCTTCACTATCACTTTTCTTGCCATTCACATCATCATTGAGCTGTTCTACGTCCATATTTTTACTTATTATAGCACTGGGTACACCGTTTAAAATCTCATCGTAATCATCGTCACTGTCACTGCTCTCTGAATTGGATTCAGAATTGTCAACAAAATACTCCTCAATTAGTTGATTCCATGTCCCAGCAGGTGCAGAGCGTGTCAGATTCGCTCCTGCCAACTCATTTAAAGCTTTGGCGATGTTATCCGCCTACACTAGAAAATACTTTTAGAACTACGTGTTTACAAATATTCCCAGGGACAGCCATTAAAATTTCACTTCATGCCTCGTGCTGTGCGCACCATGTGATCAAAATTAGCGAATCAGCGAGCGTGCTACAATGACAATCGGCCTCACATAGCAAAAAGCAGACGTCTATTCTACATTTAAAAACGTTTTTGATTGGTCTTCAATAACACCAATTGAAATTATTTTATGATGACATAGAAGGGGATTCCTTAAAGTTTGTTATGATACCAAGTATCTGCTGATAAAAACTTACTTCATGTTCCTACAGTAAAAACTAAAACTGGTGAACGGGCTTTTGTTTACGCCTCTGCTAACGTGTGGAATGAATTACCTAGACATGTAAAAGACTCTACTAACGTTGCTGTTTTTAAAAAAAATCTTTAAACCGTTTTTTTTTAACATGCTTTTAAACTATGAACATGTTGACATTTTAATGTTTTAGAACTATTTGTTTTATATTATATGTAATATTTTAATTGTGAAAAGCGCCGCGGAGCAGCTGTTAGCTGGAGCACTCAGCGCTATACAAAATGATTATTATTATTAAGTAAGAGGGGATTTTCCGAAATGTGTTGGCATAAAGAAGTCAGCATTTAAGACAATCTTCAGGAATTTTTTCTTTGTTTTAAGGCATTTCTTTTCAGACAGTCTTCGTAAATCGCATATTAATGAACTATGGGATTATTATTATGTTGTATAAACAGGTTTGTACAAAAGTTTATGCCTTTGACTATTGATTTTTGGTGAAAACTCAAAATCGGTCAGATGGCAGCTTCTTACCTATTTTGACCTGTACCAATAAAATGACATTATGCGACATGCGACCGAATTAAAAATGGTGGGTCACATTTTTGCGAATTTCTCAACTGGCAATAGTGAATTATAGGATTAATAGGATTATTCTTTAACAAGGTAGGACTGTTTATAGATACCATCTATTTTAAGGCTTTATTTTAATAAATTTTAAAAATATAACTTAAAAATATGAAATTGCAGCTTTAAGTGATAGTGAGGACACTTGGTGTATAGTTTTATCACATCAATATCTTGAATAAGTTCGATAATGAGCATTTTCTGCTCTGGGTAAGCAGAGCGATAAACAATTTGATTGGTCGTGATTTTGGAACACAATAACTCTCCTTCCAATTGAGGTAGAATGTTCAAACTTGGTGTAGGCGTTCATTAGGTGAATGCCTTGCTGGAGTTCGATGATTAACATTGTCTACTTACTGTAAGCAGAGATAAGCTATCTGATTGGTTGATGCTTTGGAGCACGATAACTTTATTTTTTAATTAAGTGAGAGTGATGAAATTCCATGAAAAGATTCATTATATCATTACCCTGACAAAGTTCGTTATGATGAGAATTTTCTGCTTAGGCTAAGAAGCAATTTGGTTGGTCAAGACTTTGGAACATAACAACTCTGCTTTTAATTGAGATAGAATGTTTAAACTTGATTTAGATGTTCATTAGGTGAATGTCTTGACTGAGTTCAATGATTAACATTTCGAACCAAAGCTAAGCAGAGCTAAGCAATTTCATTGGTCGATGCTGGATTTTTTAATTGATAATATCTTTGTCGAATTTGGAGGGGAAATATATCAGCAAGTGGTAGGTATCCCCATGGGCACCAAATGTGCACCTTTGCTTGCTGATTTATTTCTATATTCTTACGAAGCCGATTATATACAGGCACTCGTAAAAGCAAATAAACGATTAGTCAGACATTTTAATTTCACTTATCGATATATCGATGATGTTCTATCACTGAATAATCTAAAATTTAGTGATTATGTAGAATTCATATATCCTGATGAGCTTGAAATTAAAAACACGACTGACAGTGACAATTATGCTTCCTACATGGATCTGCGTCTCGAATTTGACAAAATTGCCATAAATTGTGTATTAAATTGTACGATAAACGTGATGACTTTGACTTTCCGATTGTTAACTTTCCATTCATTAGTAGTAACATTCCAATATCACCAGCTTATGGAGTGTTTGTGTCTCAGCTAATTCGTTACGCGAGAGCTTGTTTCTTTTTTTATTCTGATTTTTTAACTAGATCGAGGTATATGTCATCTAAGTTTCAACTACAGGGATACTTGCCCACTAAACTTACAAAAACCTTTAAAAAGTTTTATGGCCGTCATATTGACTTGATTGTTAAATATAACATGTCTCTTTCGGCTATTATTCTAGATATATTTAATTGACGCGTATATTATCTCCCTGATTATGTCTACTACATCGTTAACACTGTTCATCACGTGCATTTTGCATACGGATAGTCCATTGGCCAATCACTCTATTTTTCCAAGTTTTCGTGTTATGGTTTGGATGCAGCTATGGCGGGTGTGGCACCAGGCAGGGTAGTCCATTTGCTGATTACACCATTTTGCCAATACCGTTTTTTTAGGACTTTGAATTTTGTCTAATGGTTTGGATTGTTCGTACCTTGGTTTTATTTTATTTGGGACAAGATAACTTTGATTCTATCTGATGGAGAGTGATGAAACTTAGTGTATAGTTTATAATCAGTTTGATTGCTTGATATTTTTGTAAGAAATAAATGTTTGATTAATTAATATGTGTCATCTATTTATTTTTGGGATTTCGGCGGGGGACATAGTCTCACTGTTGGCTTGTTTTACATGCTATGTAATGTTTGTGTAAGGTAGATTATGAAATATTGATTTCAGGATGAAGAAACTGTGAGTGAATTCTATGATGTAGAAAGATATGGTATCATTGAAGTAGCAGGTGACATATTTACTATATATACACAAACATACATTTTATCTTATTCTTATCATTCAGATGTCATTAGTAATAAAATGTTGCTGAGCTTTTGTTCTCTTTCTCATCTATGCAATAGATTGTACTATATCTGCAACAGGTCTCTATTTATCCCATATATATATATATAACTGAATAGAATCTAATAGAAGTTGCTTCAGTTTATATGCCATCAAATTCAGTATTTTAAAGAATTAAATCATTAAACTTACGCCATTGATACACGTAACTTTGTAGGTTTTCTGTGTAAAAATTAAAAACACTTACAATGATCAAAATAACCATATTCTCTGACACTACGAATAATTCCTTTATTGATTGGCACTCAAAATTTTGAAGTCAGATCTCTGTTTTAGACAATGTTCTGGTATGTTTTCATGTACTTCATATACTTATATTAAATACTTGTTTTTAATATTATAGGTGATGATTTGTATGGTAGAAAAGTTATTGTTTTCTCTTCTTGTAAACTTCCGTCCAATAAAACATTTGATCACCAGCGATTATTAGAGTGAGTCTACATTTTTATATGCCTACATGGAAATTTGGTCATATATTGCCGTCGGTCCATCAATGCGTCTGTCGTCCACAATTGCTTGTGAACATTCTACAGACTACATTTATCATCTGATTGTTTGGCAATTGATATATGTTAAAAAACACAACACAGTTTATATGGAAATACAATCACTGGTTTATAAGTATAGCACGACGTTTCGACAAGTATTCTCTTATCGTTATCAAGCACAAATCATTTGTGCTTGATAACGATAAGAGAATACGACGTTTCGACAAGTATTCTCTTATCGTTATCAAGCACAAATCATTTGTGCTTGATAACGATAAGAGAATACTTGTCGAAACGTCGTGCTATATTTATAAACCAGTGATTGTATTTCCATATAAACTGTGTTGTGTTTTTTAATGTGTTCAATCGCTAAATGCCACTCAAGGATTATATTGATATATGTTGTTTACATGTATATTAGTGAGATGAAGAAGCCTATATAATTTCAATAATTTCCGTTAATTTCTTCTGGAGTTATGGCCGTAGTTTCTCTTTGTTGCTCCTTGTGAATGCTATAACAACAAAATTATCATCCGATCTGTGTGTAATTTATATGCATAATTTGAATTAGTAAAACGAAGAAGCCTATTGAATTTCAGAAATTTCCGTTCATAACATCTAGAGTTTGTGAACGCTCTAACAACAAAAGTCATCATCTGATCTGTATTAAATTAACATGTACTAATTAAATTTGTAAAATGAAGAAGCCTATTGAATTTCAGCAATTTCCATTTATAAATTCTAGAGTTATGGTCCTTGTTTCACTTTGTTGAACCTTGTGAGCGCTTAAATGCCAAAAGTTATCATCCGATCTGTATGAAATTTTTTATGCATCATTTAAATTAGTGAAACTGAGATTCATATTGAATTTCAGCAATTTCTATAAATAATTTCAAGAGTTATAGCCCATGTTTTACTTTGTTGAACCTTGTGAACAGTCGAACGACAAATGTTATCGTCCGATCTGAAATGCATTATTTGAATCAGTAAAACGAAAAAGTCGAATTTCAACAATTTCAGTAAATTACTTCCAGAGTTAAGGCCCTTGTTTCAGTTTGTAGAACCTTTTTAACTTAACCCTCAAATGACGAAAATTACTAACTGATCTGTATGAAATTGTCACATAAATGCCCCCCAATACCTGCAAAGAATAAATATGTGACAACCAGGGTTCTTAATCCATTTTGAAACGAACCGGCCAGAATTGGGTCAAATGAGGTTCCGGTAGGAACTGGGTTTTAAAATTTCAACAAAAATAATTCTTGGTAATTTGTTATGAGGAATATCGTATTCTACTAAATCTAATTAGCACAAAACATAACGACAAATAGGTACACCGCCGGAAAATTTTACATATTTAATTCACGTAGCGGCTTGAAATTCATGTCAGTAATATTCCTGAATAAATTACTGTATTCGATGGATATAAGCTGATACAGCACCATGGTATTTCTTCATAACACAATTTGTTGGGTTTTTATACGCCCACATTTTCATGTGGACGTATTATGCCGTCGCCCCTGTCTGTCCTGACGTCCGTCCACAATTTGTTTGTGGACACTCTAGAGGTCACAATTCTTATCCGATTTTGACGAAACTTGAAATATAGGTTTATCTCCAAAAGTTCTCGGCTGCTTTCGATATTGGAATGTATCAGATCGAAACTTCATGGATTATGGCCCCCTGTTTCTACGAAAAATCACGTTTTTAGCTTGTGGACCCTATAGAGGTCAGAATTTTTATCCTATTTTGTTGAAATTTGAATGTAAGTTTATAACCCAAAGATCTCAGTTCCTTTCGATATTCGCACATATCGGACCATAACTTTCCGAATTATGGCCCCTGATTGTACGAAAAATCGAGTTTTTAGCTTGTGGACCCTATAGAGGTCATAATTTTTATCCGATTTAAAAAACTGTATTATTATATCACCGTTACACCCTAAGGACGACTGAGTTCGAATTTCGTGAAAATTTGCCCAAAACTGACAGACAAAATGGCCGCCGTTCGTTCTCAAATAGCGTAAAAATATGGTATATCAAGGTTGTGGACCCTCTATATGTCACAATTTTTATCCGATTTTGTTGAAACTTGAAATGTAAGTTTATAACCCAAAGATCTCGGTTCCTTTCGATATTCGCGCATATCGGACCATAACTTCCTGACTTATGGCCCTTGATAGTAGGAAAAATCACTTTCTTGTTAGCTTGTTCTCTATCCATAGGGTTGGGACAATCGACATCGGCTACAAACGCATTTTATTTTTTGAGGCGAAATAGACCACATTTTATGATTTTTGTCGAAATAATGGTGAAAATTGAGTTTTTGGGTTGGGGCAGCGGCCATTTTAAAATGGCGGCCAAAATGACTGCAAAAAGCTTTTTTTTTTTCAGTTATTATCAATATAACTTGCGAAGATAGGTGTGTCAAATGTCTTTTTGCAGGTTTACGGGGTGCTATGTGCAAAAAATGATGTTTCGGCACAATCCGATAAATGGCTGCCATCTTGGATCCAATATGGCGGCCAAAATGGCTAATTTTACCCCTTTTTCTCATTTAACCGTATTTCATGCCATGAAATAAGTTTTTTTTAGGATTTATGAAAAACATCTATAGACGACTAAATTCTTAATTATTTTGTTTTCCTAGTATGACGTCCTAATTACTGACAACGTCGCTATTTTACTATGACGTCATAATCATTGCAACAAAACGACGTCAGTCGTCAATGAACAAAACGTCAGTCGTTACTTAGATCTCACTCGAAAACAACGCATATCGGATAATTGTATCATTGTTGATTTCCTCAAATGGATGAGATGTTCTTTCTACGTGTGGATATACCTAGTACCTTTGTGTGCTAAACACATGGGATATACGATATTTTGTTTTTAGTGGATATAGTTTGCGATTTTGGGTTGTGATCTCCAACATGAATGAGTCTCGGCAGACAAGAGCTAATGACTTGGTGATGGATTTATATGGCGAATACTACAGGGAGGAACCTCAGTTCGCCGATAAACCCAGACTGGCAACTTGAAAATTCATCATGGGCCGAATGATGAGCATAACTAAAACTGAAAAGGGCAAACAGTCAATCAGCAAAGATACGGCAAGCTGGATAGTAGCAGAAGAACTATGTGCTGATTGGATTCAGAAGAACGTGTACCCCATGGAACCGAGAGTAGTTGCTAAGCGAATCAGAGACGACTACGATACATTACGAGAACTAAGAAAACTCGAGAAAAATAAAACAAAAACTATGACGCAAACGTGTATACAAAAAGCTGTCAAATTCAATGAAAAAATGACATTACGGGCATATGACATTCGTGGTAAAGTGCTACACTATCAAAAGCAACTTGAAACACAATATGCTGTCAAAATGACCAACGATGATATAAAGTTTTATGAAAATAACTGCTTCGGCGATTACAAAGCTACCTGCTCTCAAACAATCCCTCGTAATTGGGTCAAACAACAGAAACGTAACTGTGAGCGAGAACTAGCTGCTGAAAAAAAGAAGAAACAATATTCTAACGAAAACGTGGTACAGTACCCTGTGATGGATGATGAAATGGCAGAGCTAATGGAAACAACAGAAATTTCAGATCCTACGTTTCAATGCAGCGTTGACGAATCAAGTATCAGCCATGATGTTCCTGTTACTAGAATGAACACAATGACAACTGAAACATGTGAAGGTGAGCCATCCATTTTTCCTAACGTAAAGATCAGGACTGGGCTGAAAACACTAAATGAGAGTTTAGTTCGAACCATGGTTCAGAGTATCGCTAAATATAAAGTGTCAGCTAATGACTTGATCGGTATCACTGTTGATCTTGCTAACGGCGTATTTGGACAGAATTGGTCAGTCTCATCTACAAGTACCGATATTCCTGATTTAGAAAGTGAAGATGAGGCAGAGTCACCAAAACCTAAACGACGATGTGGTGATTTTTCATACGTCATGCCAACTCGGAAATGCTTGGCAAATTATTTGGAAGATGCTTTCTACTTAAATCTAGAAGTGCTTGCGAAATATTTGCTTCAAAAAGACAATATTGTAAACTTTTTCAAAGAATGTGTCGACAGTAACTCCATTAAGCTGGTGTTGGCAGTAGCCACATTTCTAACGAATGACTGGTTCATTTGTTGTACTGAAGTGTATTCTCTCTTCGCCGAAATACTTATATTTCCTCTTTTGGACTTGTTGGATGTCGATAAACGGTTGAACGGAAACATAATGGATAGATCTTGGCAGGGAGTGAAGGAGTTTTTCGACATGAAAATACCAGAGCTACAAAAACTACAGGCGAAGTTTGCAAAAACTGTAACTGGGAAAGGTCAGTTGATTGGTGCAGTCCTAGATGAAGTCATTTACATTTTGAATCGTCAGCTTGGGGAAATGGACTATTTTGAAGTAAATGTGAAAGAAGTCGAATGCATACCCGATCGTGAAAAACTGAAATACGCTCCCTTAACCAATATGGGCTGCGAATCTGAATTCGCCAAACTGGATAATAAAGTGAAATCTACCGGAGGAATGACCAGGATAACAACACACTCTAAAAAGAACATTGTTGCTACCAACGGATTCTTAGTACATCGAGATTTCTTGGAAAGTACCGAAGCTGAACGAAAACATAAATGGAAATGGGGAAGAAATTCCGAAGAAGTGCAGAAGGCCAAGCAGTTGGAAAAAGATTTCCTAGAAACAGTAGCAGCAGCTAAATGTCTTACCCTGAAAAAGAAAGAAGAACTCAAGAAGAAGAAAATGCAATGTAGTCTAGCACTATTGGAAGCTTGTAAGCAGCACAGAGGTCCCGTCACACCGCATACAATCCACAAACTCAAGACGTTGTCGCAAAAGCAGTTGCTCTGTGAAGTAGGATACATTCGCTGTACACTAGCCCCTGACATTCGGGAGAAGCGCAGAGTGA